TATAAACTCCAGGCTGGCCAAGATTATAATGAGACCCTCTCCCAGAAGACTTAAAACAAAACAACAACAACAACAACAAACCAAACCACACCAAACAAACTAAATAACCAGGCATGGTGTTATATTCCATATTCCTTTAATCTATGTTCAGGGGAGCAGCCTTAGATACAGTGAAGGAGACTTAGTCTCAAAAATGACAATCATCTGGATACAGACTTAGTCTAAACTGAAAGAACAAGGGTAAAATGCTCAGGTAGCATCCTTTGCCTACTCTTCCTCAAAAGAAAATTTCATTGGCAGACCCAAATAGGTAGATGGAGGCTAGGACACAGGTATGATTAAGAAAAGGATACACAAGGCTTTAGCTGGGCAGCACACACTCTTCAGCCCATCTGTTCATGGCCAAATGATATGCCAATAGGCAGGAAGCATGGTGCATGTCCTCCCTCACAAAGTAATAAATGTAAAAAGGTTTATTAGACTTTAAACTTTAAAAAAATATTTATTTTAGGGGCTAGAGAGATGGCTCAGTGGTTAAGAGCACTGACTGCTCCTCCAGAGGTCCTGAGTTCAATTCCCAGCAACCACATGGTAGCTCACAACCATCTGTAATGGGATCTGATGCCCTCTTATGGAGTGTCTGAAGACAGCAACAGTGTACTCATAAATAAAAATAAATTAATTAATTAATAAAAAAAATTTATTTTAAATTATGTGTATTTATGCATAAAAATGTGCATGTGAGTACAAATGCCCATGGAGGAGAGCAGAGGGCATCAGATGGTTTGGAAATGAAGTAATAGGTGGTTGTAAACTACCGGATATGGAGTGCAGACACGAAACTTGGGTCCTCTGCAGAAGCTGTACTTGCTTTTAACCACTGGGCTATCTCTCTATGAAGGGATGAAGAACAGAAAGCAGAATCCATCTTCATCACCGCCACAATGAATAGTATCCCAGGTCTAACAGCTGCCATTAGCTTGTTCTGAAGTACAGTGGGTAAGTCAAAGCCTTCTATAAAATCAGAGGGCTCAATTAGGCCTCCCTTCAACCGTGTTCAGGTCAATCCACGGTGAATTACAGAAACAAACAAACAAACAAAAAAAAGCAACAACAATGCCCCAAACTTCTTTCCTTGTTTATAAAGGGAACACATATTGAAGGTATTGGAGGAGAGGGAGAATGTAGCAGGACAGATAACTGACCTGATTCTATTACAGATAAAAAGTTCTAGAGTAACAACACAGAAATGTTAAAATCCAAAACACTTGAGGTTTTACATGGTGATATAATAACAATAACACCCCTGGGTCTGTTTGTTACAAGGTAAAACTGTTACAAGGATCTGCCAGTTAAGAGACCTCAAAATATTTCTAAATAGCACAGGATAGCCAAAGGAAACTGATAAAAGCATATCTGAGGAAAAAATATTCCCAGTATTGTCTTCAGGCTGGGTATGATGGTTACCCCAGCACTCTGGAAACTGAGGCAAGATTTGACTCCCATTGTCACTCTACTGTCTTCTAAATACATACTCTTCAAGATCTGAACCATACTTTTGCCAACTAGGCAAAGCTTTTCAGAAAGAGTACCTTCCATGTTATCAACAAATAGCTAATATGTTATGTACAAAGACACCGGTATCTTGTAGGAAAACAGAAAGATAAAGCTTGACAAGTACAAAGCTAAGTTTAAGCTTGCATCTTCTCTTCTTCAACCTCTTAAAACTGCAGCTGATCTCAACAGCACAGCTCCCTGCTTCAGACTACCAGCCTTTACAAAAAGCTGTCAGTATGAACTTCCTAAATTAGATCTTGATAAGTCTTTATTGGTGAAGACTTTTTAAGGCTCCCTACAGGAAAAACATTAACCTGCCATTCAAATGACAAAGGAAGTAGAGGTAGACATGGAAGCCAAGACCCATGAGTAAGCTAGGACTGGAGCCTTATACAGCTGTAGACTGCTCTTAGGTATGAGGACAGATCAGAATTAATAGAGCTTGGAAACGTATCAGAGGGAGACCCAGGAAAACCACGGTTTACAGTAACTTAGCAGCGAGCACTGACTAGTAGAGGTCTGAGCCTTTCCTTCCCGATTTTAATATAACTACTCTACACAAAGACTGCACTGGAAGTGGCTATTCCTCTCATAAAGAATGACAAACATCATTTCCTTTAATAAAGATGAAAGGAAATCACATGAGGATCAAAGAGCGGCTTTGTCTGCAACATCTGAACTGAGATTCCAGATGGTTGTGGAGTAAAGGGGTGAACTCCTTGGGGCAGAGATACACGTTACAAAATGGAAAAAACAAAAGGATAAGCAACGTAATGAACAAAAGAGTAAAGATCACAGTACGACTTGTTTCCCAGAATGATGTGACTTGAGGTTGTCCGTGCTTTAGCACGGGACGTGTACAACAGGGACTACAGTGGGCCGGATAAGAGGTGGCAGGGTCTTGGATAGGATGGCTCCTGTAGAGAGGCAGGCAATCAAAAGGCATCTCGATAGGTTACGGCTTGAATATGAAATGTAGTGGCTGCCAGATGATGAGCTTTGGGGAAGTGATTAGATCTTGAGGGCTCTGACATAAACAACGGATGAATCCCTCCATGGAGTCACAATGTGACGACACTACTGGGAAATCTGAAAAGCAAGTAGGATCTCACTGGAGGAGAGACCCCTAAGAACACGCCCTGCAGAGACCTATTGTGTTCCCTGTCTCTTCTCTATCTGCTTCCTGTCTAGGCCTCAAGCAAAGGGGCAAGCTGACCATAGACAGAGACTTCTAAATCATCTTCTTTTAAATAAAAAGGTTTCACCAACATGTAACCTTTAAGGAGAAGGGGGAAATTTTAGGTGCTGTTGTATTTATTACACTCACTGTTTATTCACAGGCAGGAAGGCCAACTCTCTTAAAAAGCTTCAGGATGCGGTCTCCTAGCTTACAAAGCTATGCTCACACCTTTACTTTAATCCCAGCACTCAGCAGAGACAAGATAGATTTCTCCGAGTTCAAGGACAGACTGGATTATGCAGCAATTACCTACCCAGCCAGAACTACACAGAAGAAAAAAAATTATTTAAAACTAATATCTAGCCGGGCGGTGGTGGCGCACGCCTTTAATCCCAGCACTTGGGAGGCAGAGGCAGGTGGATTTCTGAGTTCGAGGCCAGCCTGGTCTACAGAGTGAGTTCCAGGACAGCCAGGGCTACACAGAGAAACCCTGTCTCAAAAAACCAAAAAAAAAAAAAAAAAAAACAAAAAACTAATATCTATAAAGCAGAGATCTACGATAAAAATCAACAGCCAAAAAAGAAGCAAACATTTTCCTGATGTAGAGAAAGGCTAATTTCCTTGGATCAACATGGAGATGTAGTACAAGATACACTGTTGAAAGAAAGTCCCAACAGCTCAAATAGGAAGTTGTCAGAAAGCTCACCAATAATATGGATTTTTTTTTTTTGAGACAGTATCCACCACTGGCTGGACTTCACCTTGTGGTGATCCTTTAGGCCCTGCTTCTCCAGTGCTGGAAAGACAGGGAGGACTACTGAGTGCACATAATAAGAACAGAAATGAAAACCAGAATGGTACCAAACTTATTTGAAAAAGTAAATGCTAGAAAAACAGAACAATGTTTAAAAGTATATGGGCAGGGGGTACCTAGAGAGACAGCTTGGTGGTATGATGCTTGCCTAACTTGTGAGGCCCTAAATCCTATCCCTGCACTGGGGAGTGGGTGGAACAAAGAGACCAGGAGAGTTGGTAAGGCAGGCAGGCAGGCAGGCAGGCAGGCAGGCAGGCTACTACACATGTAGGAACAGTAATAAGACATGGGCAGACATATACCTCAAGAGTCCACAAAAAAAATTCTCTCTTCTTTTTTGAAAAAATTTCTGCTAAACAAATTCTTAGGCATAGAGAAGATAGATTTTACTCCTCTGTGTCTCAAAAAGCTATAAAAATCTATGAACGCTCTTCCTGAATGTTATACACAAACAAGATGCACTTATAACTTCAGAGAACCAAAGATCCTGTGAAATCCACTCAATAACTTCATGTTAAGGATCCATGAGATACGGCTGGAAAGGGCTGGAGAGACAGCTCAGTGATTAAGAGCACTTGTTGCTAGGTTCCTAGCACGTGGTGACTCGTGACCATCTATAACTCCAGTTTCAGAGGACCCAATACTTTCTGACTTTAGTGCCAGGCACATATGTGATGCACATACATACATGCAGGTAAAACTGGCAATAAGCTGGGGATTCCAGTGTAATTATTTGAATTGTGGCTTTCTAAAATACAGTTCTGAATTAGAAAACCAATCAGGATAGTTTACATATTAAAAGTAAACTTTAGCTCTGTGGTAGTGGTAGAGTTCAAGAAGAATGGGTATGATGGACCAGACACAAAGAAACTTTAGGTTGATGGAACTGTTGCAAAACCAGATTCCAGTTCTGCTTCCTATTCTACCAAGGTGGGAGGAGTCTCAGCTGTACACTCCTGCCAGCATGGAGACATCTCATGTCATCTTTCCCCGAACTGTAAGCTAATAAACCCTTCTAAAAAAGAAAAGGAGGGGTCTCAGCTGTTACTCCAGCTGCATGATTTACTGCTTTTATACTTAAAATGGGTGAATTTTATGGCATGCAAACTATATACGATAATTTTGTTAAAAAAGAAGAGAAAAATTATAGCTGCTGAGTAGCTCTCTCTTTTTTTTTTTTTTTGGTTTTGAGACAGGGTTTCTCTGTGTAGTTCTGGCTGTCCTGAAACTCACTCTGTAGACCAGGCTAGCCTCGAACTCAGAAATCCACCTGCCTCTGCCTCCCAAGTGCTGGGATTAAAGGCGTTCGCCACCACCACCCGGCTGTCCTCCAAAATCTTGTTAATACCAATACTCTACTCCACATCTACTTGGTCTTTTATGGATTTATGGCTTAAAAAATAAATAATAATTTAGTCTTTCTGGCAGTGATGACCTCCCTGCGAGAACATGCCTCTTACAAAGTATCTCCTTCATCCCTCTCCAGAGGAGGAGAAGAAAAAGGGCCTGATGCAGAGCCCCAATTCCTACTTTATGGATGTGAAATGCCCAGGATGCTATGAAATCACCACAGTCTTTAGTTATGCCCAAATGGTAGTCTTTTGTGTTGGCTGCTCCACTGTCCTCTGTCAGCCTACAGGTGGAAAAGCAAGGCTGACAGAAGGATGCTCCTTCAGGAGGAAGCAGCACTGAAAGCCCCTGATTGAAGATGAGCGGGAACCTCAACAAACACATTTTGGATAAAAAAAAAAAATTTATTTATTTATTTATTTATTTAATGTATGTGAGTACACTGTCACTCTCTTCAGACATACCAGAAGGCAGCATTGGATCTCATTACAGATGGTTGTGAGGCACCATGTGGTTATTGAGAATTGAACTCATGACCTCTGAAGTGCTCTTAACTGCTTGAGGCACCTCTCCAGCCATGGACTTATGGCTTTAATAAGAGTCCATCTTGTGCATTTTTTGACAGGGATTAACAGGAAGGAAAAGTAAAACAAACCAAGTCTAACTTGATGTCCTTTCCCAGCAGTCTAGATTTTTTTTTACCTTGACTCTTGTTTCTTTTACTTTTTTTTTTTTTGAGACAGGGTTTCTCTGTGTAGTACTGGAACTTGCTATGAACACCAGGCTGTCCTTGAACTCATAGAAATCTGCCTGCCTGCCTAGAAGTGCAATTAGAGAAGAAAACAATATGGAAAGCTGAAAAGATCAACGTGTTCAGGTGGAAGGTGGAGGTATGGTTTGTCCCTACTGACTAGCAGGCACGTTATGTGTGTATATACATGTGCTACACATTGCATGAAGTCAGAGGACAACCTGGAGAAGCTGGTTCTCTCCTTCATTCACATGGATCACAGGTTAAACTTATTCAATTCAGGTCAGTGCCTTTAAGCACTGACCCACCTCACTGGCTCTACTGTTTATTCTTAAGCTGATACATAAGAACACAGAAATTGTATATATCAATGGGGTACTGTGCATTGTTTTGTTACATGGATCCTAATTGTGTAATGTTTAAGTTAGGTTAAACATAGCAACCTTTTTACTTTTATTTCTTTATTGTCAAATTTCCAAAATTCTTGTTTCCAATCTTTTGAAATTTATAGCACATTACTGTTATCTATTGCACGCTGGCTGTTACTCTTTGCTAAAGTTAAAAAAGAAAGCAAGTTATTAGACCGAAAATAAAAATGGGGTACAAATGTTGAAGGTCTGAAGAAAAGAGCAGGAACACAGGAGCCTCCCAGAGAGAGTAGAGGATGGAAATACAGCATGACTCCTGCGAGGCGGCTAAGACTGCGGCGATGTGTGAATCCAAATAAACGCAGAATGAAGACGGTTATATAATGAGAGCTGTGACTTCTGCAAGCTCGTATGTACAGGAGTACAAGAGAGGTGTAGGGGTGTGGAATGGGAGGGATACAATTCTCTTGACTGGAATGACTGATCTTGGACCGTAAACAGGATAAAGACAGTGAAGCGATGAGAAGGAGGGGCACTGAAAGACTGTCAGATCCAGACACCGTGGTAAAGAAGAGCCGAACGGATGATAAAAGCTGGGGTTTAGCCACTAAGCACTTAAAAATGCCTTGCTATTTCATTAAGTAGCCGATTACTTCTCACTTCATGTAATTATCAGGCTGAGGAAAAGGTATTCCGTATGACAATCAACCTGTTGGAGAGCACACGCTCTTCCAAAAACACATAAAACTACAATACGCCTGACCAACTCAGATTGTATTATATCTACATAAAATATGTTAATACAATCATGTTCCAAAATAGTTGAAGTATTACTTTATAGCATTATGAAAGGAAATGGGGCAAAGTGTTCCTGGAGAAGAATTAAAGTCAAGTTAAAGTACCCGTCCTTACTGCTGTTACTACTGCAGCACTGAGTTAAATGCGGCTCTTGCTGTTACTGAGTCAGTAAGGTTTCTCGGCTCTCATTTTTCTCCTCTATTATTTTCTTCTGATGTACACTTTTTTCAGTCTTATCATACAGAAAGTTATGGCTCACCTCATCCACCTTGCAAGAAAAACAGCACCTCAGTTCAGACTTTTAGAAGTATCCCATATTTCTGGAGCTTGTGTAACAGCAGCAACAAAAATGTGGTGAAGCCTTAGCTCAGACAGGTTCACTAAATAGGGCAAATAAAAGAACTGAGCTTTAAATTTTATGAGTTCTTTGCTGTTTGAGGTAGCAAATTTTTGAGTTGTTAGACTTAGATTTTTCCCATCATGCAAGTTGCTGCCAAGCATGGCAGTGAATTTAATCTCAGCACCGGTGAGGCAGAGGCAGGTGAATATCATGAACTTGAGGCTAGCCTACATAAAAAGACCCAGTCTCAAAAGATCAGTAAAATACCTCACAGGAACTTCCGATGCTCTCCTGCTTACTCCACTGGGACAGTGGTTTATGATGATGGGACCAATAATCAGAAGAATAAGCTAAGCCAGTTGACAAGACTCAGCAGATGATGAAAGACTGTTAACAGTTTACCACTTCTGTATCTGACACAAATTCCTTTAATTCTAAGGGCAACTCATTTAAAAGCTACTGACTTGCCATTCTTTTTCCATCTTTTCTCTTTGCAATGGCAGCCTGAATGATTCCCCAGGACAGTTAATTAAACATACAATTTTTTTTCATTTATGTACAAATTTCTCTCATTTTAGCACATCAGACTTATTAAATGAATTCATCCATTTGTGAAGTGCAAACATACCAGAACTATTCCACAAATTATTTGTGCCTATCCCTTACTTTATAATTTTCGTCAACATCCAAATCCCATTCTTCTAAGGGAAAAAACTCAAGTCACAGAGTAAAAGTTTACCTTCATAACAATGTCTATTTTGTTATAAAACTTCTTCTTTTATATATCCACTCATGGAAATTCACTAATACTCTCATTTAGGGGACCATATGTTTTAATTAAAAACAATTATGTGTATGTATGCTTTGCCTGTGTGTATGTATGCTATGTGTACCACACATAAGCAGTCCCTTGGAAGCCAGAAGATGGAGTCAGATCCGCAGAGACTGGAGTTATAGATGGCTGTGAACTGCCATGTGAGTGCTGAGATGGGAACCCAGGTCCTTTGGGAGAACAGCCAGTGCTCTTACACTCGGAACCATCTCTCCAGTCCCAGACATTTTAATGAGTAACACAGGACTACAAACTGGAGGAGCTGCTAAAAGCAGCTGCTGAAAACACACGACCCAGATTATCTACAAACACACTTAAAAGTCGGCCGTCAATGTCATTTCAGATTGCCCTTTAAGACTTCCTGACATTTACTTAGGTTGTTAGGATCAAAGGCCATAAAGCTTATCTGGGCTTCACCTTCTAGAAGGGAGTTAATCTGTAAAAACTCCAGCAGAATACAGGGGAAACCAACCATCACCAGTGCCGCCCCATCAGGCTTTCACTTTGTGGGCTGATACCATTTATTGCCCAAACTGGAACATTAGAAGAGCAATGCCTTTAATAATGACATTAAAACAAGCATAAACGATGACTTTCTATCAGGCAAAATTACAGGTGTGGTCACCCTAATTCTATACCATACAAAAGTTAACTAGCCAAAGTATCAAAAGAAATACAGCTCCAGGCACATGTAAACTACATGTCATACCCATGTAAAGGACCTGAACCAAAATATAAACCACAAAAGTCAAGTGCGTCCTTTACTTTATCTTTTTAAGTATAAAGTATTGCCAGGCAGTGGTGGCACACGCCTTTAATCCCAGCACTTGGGAGGCAGAGGCAGGCAGATTTCTGAGTTGGAGGCCAGCCTGGTCTACAGAGTGAGTTCCAGGACAGCCAGGGCTACACAGAGAAACCCTGTCTCGAAAAACCAAACCAAACCAAAACAAAAAAAAGATAAAGTATTTCCATTGTATTGGATTAAGGAAAAATATGTTATTAACAGGGATAAAGAAAAAGAAATACCACCCACCTAGTCATAAAAGCAGAGTAAACATGCCTAAATTAAAATAAAGATCTATCTACAATAAGAAACCACTAACAGGAAAAGACACTTGCAATAAGTACATCCAAAGGATGCGTTATTAGCACTCAAAACTCCAGAAAATGATGTGGTAATTTCAAAGGCACTTAGGGATAGATGATCAAATGGCTTAGACATGGAAATGCCTCCAAAACTCATCAGCTGACAGGAATAGGGACTAAAAGTACATTCAAGAGGCTGAAGTAGTTAAGAGCACGTCTGACTCTCAGCACCCACATTAGGTGGCTCAGAACCACTTGTAACTCCTGCTCCAGAAGTAGCCACACCTCTGCTCTCTGTGGGCACCTGCACTCAAGTGAACATACCTTCCCCCACACACCCAATTAGTAACAAAAATAATAAAAACACACTGAGCCGGGCGGTGGTGGCGCACGCCTTTAATCCCAGCACTTGGGAGGCAGAGGCAGGCGGATTTCTGAGTTCGAGGCCAGCCTGGTCTACAGAGTGAGTTCCAGGACAGCCAGAACTATGCAGAGAAACCCTGTCTCGAAAAACCAAAAAAAAAAAAAAAAACACACTGAACTACCTACTCATCAAACTGGCAAGAATGAAAATATATGGCATTCAGTGCTATTGCCGGTGAGGCATATGGAACAACTACAATTCTTACTGCTGAAAATAAACACTCATAAGCACCTACTAGAGAAAATTACTTTGCATTACTTAGTAAAGACACACACTCCCTATGTTCCTGCAACTCAAATTCTATGTGCCACCCCTGAAAATGATTTTATCACATCAGTGCATTCAAACATTAATTTTCCTAAAAGCACTGCTCTCAATAGCCCCAAACTGTAAACAAGCTAAGTGTTAACTGTCAAACAGCCAAACCTGTGGGAGTTAAAAGCTAAAATAAATATATATGTCCTATCTATACAAAGTTCAGACTGTTGTGCTCATAGCAGCTGAACCATTTCTCCAGTTCTTTGATAACTTAAAAAAATTATTTTGTGGGCTGGGGAATGGCTCAGGGTTAAGAGTAGTAGTTGCAGGCCGGGCGGTGGTGGCGCACGACTTTAATCCCAGCACTTGGGAGGCAGAGGCAGGCGGATTTCTGAGTTCGAGGCTAGCCTGGTCTACAGAGTGAGTTCCAGGACAGCCAGGGCTACACAGAGAAACCCTGTCTCAAAAAAAAAAAAAAAAAAAAGAAAAAGAAAAAAGTTACTAAGCCTGGCTCATGCCTTATAATTCTAGCACATAGGTGGTGGCTAGAGGACTAGAAATTCAAAGTGGAAGCCGGCAGATCAATACTTCAAAGTCATCCTTGACTACCTATCCAGTTTGAAGCCAGTCCAAGCTACTTGAGACCATGCAAATAATAATCCCCAAACCTCTACAAAAACATTTCAACGAGAAATACTGTTCTTAACCAGTGTGTACAACACCTGGTGAGAGCACCAAAAACCTTAGAGAACTTTCTCCAAGCTTTAATAAAGTCATTAAAACTAACACCATGAAGCAAAACCTCCATCTGTAAGAAAAGATTTAAAAAGGCAAACAAAACTAAGTTGTTTAAGAACATCACAGTCCGGCTGGGTGGTGGTGGCGCACACCTTTAATCCCAGCACTTGGGAGGCAGAGGCCAGCCTGGTCTACAGAGTGAGTTCCAGGACAGCCAGGGCTACACAGAGAAACCCTGTCTCGAAAAACCAAAAACCAAAAACCAAAAAAAAAAAAAAAAGAACATCACAGTCAACTCTCATTTGTTTTTGAGGCAGCGTCTCACTCTGAAGTTTGGAACTCCCTAAATTGATGAGGCTTGCCTGGAACTCAGATCCACCTGTCACTAACCTCCTGAATGCAGGCACCAAGGCCTGTATCACCAAGCCCAGCTTCACACCATCAGTCAAGGCTTCAGTAATTACTAAGAACAATCATACAACCTTAAGTACAGTGAGTGTCTACAAAGATGAAAACAGGTTCTTTAACAGGCAATGTGTTACAACACTCCATAAGGCAAAGAGAAAGATATGGGGTAGTCCCTGGCTTCTCAGTTTTTGTCTTTTTTTGAGAGGGTTTCATGTGTACCAGGCAGACCTTGAACGCCTTACCTCCTGCCTCCACCTCCCTGGTGGAATCACAGGCACGAACTACCCACATCCGGTTTTTCTCACTGGGGAGCCAACCGGGTTTTATGCATTTAAGCAAGCACTCTATCAACTGAGATGACCTAGCTGTGCTGCTTTAGCAGCCCTGACCGTCCCTAGTTCAAGAAGCCTTTAGCATATCTGGGACTACAGGGGAGTGTCACAGGCCTCATATGCTCTTTAAAAAGCAGACACTTTAACCGGGCTGTGGTGGCGCAGGCCTTTAATCCCAGCACTTGGGAGGCAGAGGCAGGTGGATTTCTGAGTTCGAGGCTAGCCTGGTCTACAGAGTGAGTTCCAGTACAGCCTGGGCTGTAAGAGAAACCCTGTCTCGAAAAACCAAAAAAAAAAAAAAAGAAAAAAAAGCAGATGCTTTGACTTTTTCAGTGTTTGAGTCAAGGATTTTTTTTTTAAGTAAGTTGCCAAAAGTTACATAAGTATTATCACAATGCAACTGTGGAAAACATCACCCTACTCTTTTATAGTGTACCTTTTTTAAGCCTTGATTTTGTGGTTCTGAGGAGAGAACCCAGATCTTCCACTTGCTAGGGAAGTGCTGTCAATCAGGCCACACCCCTAAACCCTATTAGGTATAATTCAATGACCTAAAAAAAGTCTTCTTACCCAGGTCGATTTGGCCCCAAACTGAAACTGTTAAAAGGAACATCTACTTAAAAAAAAAAAAAGGGTCATTAAAAATTGTTGGGCATTGGAGACTCTTCCATTCACCTAACGATTTGACAGCTTAAGATTTAGAATCTTGCTATTCCCGAGACCTCTTTTCCTAGCGTACGAAGTTCTTAACAATTCCACTAGATGTGGTGGGAAAAACAGACCTCCCTGGTATCGTAACTGTTATAAGACTTCCTCTAAGATCAGAAGCTCAAGTTTATTTTCTTTCTGCGTCCCTGGCACAGCAAAGGTCTAGCACGCGTGAACGGAAACGAAACCCACAAACTGACTGTACCGACGACGGTACAGACAGACTATGGGGTAGGTAGGCGTGATCCCCTTCAACACAACTTCCTCTCCCCGCGGAACGCAAGGGCAGCGGAGTCGGTCGGCGCCCGGATAGTACTCGATCCGAACCGTGCACAAGAGCCCCGGATCATCAAAACTTGAACTTTTCTTTCCTTTCTACCCAGGGTTGCAGAAAAGAGGCCCACGGGGACAAGCAAGCATTTTAACGCGCACCCTTTGGTTGCATAACAATTCCGGCTTAACAGGTTAACAATCACGGAGGAGACAAACGGGATGCGACCAGCTCGACGGTACCAAATGGCCTCTCCGAGATCACAAGTCTGCGGGCGCAAACCCAAAGTTTGGAGCAGACTCCTTAGGAGTTCGCTCGAGAACCGTCGCCACCAACCCAGACGAAGAACGCTGAGAAAATGGGTGCCCGCCCGGGGGGGGGGGAATCAACACATCCGCATTCAACTCTAGGTAGGCGTCAAAATTCTTCCACTCCTCCGGCTTTGTTCGGCGCTTCGGAAGACGGAACGACCGAATTTCGGTCTTGGAAGACACGAACCTGGGTGTGTTCTCAGGCTGGTTCCCGGGACTTTAGGATCGCCCCTCCCAGGGCGCCGCGCACTCGTTCCCCGGATGGAAGGCGCGGAGCTTCGGGGGGAAGGAAGAAGCTCGGGGAGCCCGGGGAGGCCGCAGCCCTGCCTGGCCCTTGTCGCTCCGGGGGCCGGGAGCGGCCTCCCCCGAGGACCGCTGAGCGCGAGGGCGGCGGAGCGCCCGGCCCGCGCCCCCCTAACCCCGAGGCCCGCCCCGCCGCCGTACCTTTGGCGAGGGCTACCGTGGAGTTCTCGGTATCGATGGTGTAGAGGATGCCCTCGTAGCGGATCTCCGCCTTGGAGATGAGGCTGATCTTGCTGCCGATGTAAGGGGTGCCCCCGCTCATGGCGCCGCCGCCGTCGCCCGCCGCTCGCTCGCACTCAGGCAGATTCCCGCGCTGCGCTCCCCGCTCCGCACGCCCGCCCGCTCGCTCCGTCGGCGCCTCACAGCAGCCGCCTCAGAACCAACATGGCGGCCGCGCCGGCTCCGCTTACCCTCCCCCCCCAGCCTCCCGCCCTCAAACCGCGGCGCGGCGGCGGCGGCGGCAGCGGCGGCGGCGGCGCGGGGCATGCCGGGAGGGCGAGGCGGCGCGTTCTCTCGCGAGACTCGGTGAGCTCGCGGACAGTCCCTGGGTCTCTCCGCGGCGGCCCGTAGTCGGGCTGATGAGATCTGCTCGCTGGCTCGCGCTCCGGAGCGGTTTCGGAGAGATGGAGGGTTGTTTTTTCACGTAACCTAGACGTCGCCTGAAGACTAGACGAGGACGCATCCCGCCTGGTGATGCTCACTGCGGCCTCTGCCGTTTCTAGGCGGGCTGTACTTTGTTAGCGGTCGCCTCCTAGCTCCTGACCAGCGGCCGGTTTCCGCGGGTCACGGAGCTCTCACCGTCAATGCCAGAGCAGCCATCTTCGCTTAAGAAGTTTCACACCCTAAGAGTGCTCCAGGAGGCGCCGGGACTCTGTCCCCCAAACTCTTTTTTTCCTTCCTGCTGAGTCCATCCCTTTTTTAACACGGCTCGATCCGGGCTTCTGGCTATCAAGATAACTCCTGGTCACTCACTATGCAAGAAACACCGGTCCAAGTGTTTCTCTGCAGCTCTGATCGCTTAATGTCAACTCCACATTTCTTAATCACAAATCATCTCTCCGATCGGATGCCAAACGGGCATCTTAAAACTTTGCATCCAAGCCGGGCGGTTGGTGGTGCACGACTTTAATCCCAGCACTTGGGAGGCAGAGGCGGGCGGATTTCTGAGTTCGAGAGTTCGAGGCTGGCCTGGTTTACAGAGTGAGTTCCAGGACAGCCAGGGCTACACAGAGAAACCCTGTCTCGAAAAACCAAAACCAAAACAAACCCTTTGCATCCAGAGGTGTAACTGTTCGTTTTACTTCAAACTCATCCCTCTAGTTTGTTCTCTGAGGTAACTATGCACCGGGACCATTTACTTAATTACTGAGACCCCAGGCCTGGATTGTCTTCTTGACCTCCATACCTGTCCTGACTGTAAATCTTGTCTGTTCAGTCTGGATCGTCTCCATCCGTACAGCTTTGTAAGACGCCTCAGTTACTCTGGCCAGAATTGTTGCCAGTAACTCCCTAAGAATCCTTTCGACTTCTCTTACCCCCTACTAGGTTTTTCTGAACACAGCAGTCAGGGGGAATCATGTTCAAGTAGAAAGAGAAAATCTTGAAAATCTTGTTCAATCAAGTCAGAAAACATCCCTCTACTCAGTACTCTCCACGGATTACATGGTACACAAAGTGAAAAACAGGCTTCCTAGTTTGGCTTATAAAGGCATGCATGATTTAGCTTGTTACAAGCATCCCTTCTTACAAACCCGCCCTAAGAGATGAGTTATTTACAATACTACGATAGATCTCGCTTTACACCCCTCATCTTGGCTTGGTCCCTCCCTACCCCCCCATAGCATTTCTCTCTCCTAGTATGTCTGTTTAGTTATACGTGTTTACCTTGGCTAGAATGCAAACATTTTGAGGAAGGGTTTTTGTTTTTGGTCACTGTTTGCATCATCCTCGGGGCCAAGTGTGGCAACCGGCCCAGGGCAGCTGCTCGGTAGACATTTGCTACAAGAATGAGCAGCTGGGGTAAGAGCCTAGCACAGGCAGCAAGCTGGATGTCTGGTGAGCTGAGCGAACGCATGGTGATTAACTGGGCGTTCCGGGAAAGCAGGAGAAATGATTAGCTGTGCTGTGTCTGGTGCACAATGGCTTGCTTCAAGGGAGTCCCTGCTTCAGCCTAAAGTCTTTACCTCAGTGTGTAGCCGCCCAGCGGGCCGGGAGTGGAACGGGTTCACCTGGAAAGAGGGCTGGGAACGAAAGGGGGGGATGGAGAGCAAGAAAAGATAAAGCCAAGAGACAAAGTTCTCTGATCAAGGCTCAATGCTTTAATGTTTTCAATTTAAAGGGAAAGACCCCGCCTGATCCCTTCCTAGTTTCAGGCGGGAGATGGGTGGGATAATCCGTTCTTGGTCACGGGTCAGGGCCGGAGATGTCTCAAGGCAAGCCCAGGGGCAGTTCTTTGAAGTTCCTGTAGCAGGCTGTACGTGCAGCCAAGGTGGCTAGTTCCACCTAGGTCCTGTTATTTGGTCTGTTGTGGTAAACTAGGTCTCTCCAGCCTGCTCAAGGCCGGGGAAGGGCACATCAGTGTGCAAATTTATGTTTGGATTCTCCTTCCCTTTGTAGGTCTCAGACCAAAGTGGCCTTCCCTTGGTTCGGTAGTGAGCACATTCTTTCCCTCGTCAGTTTCTACAAACTGATGATATCCAACACTCAGATTTACATCTTTCACATCTCCCGGCTGCACTTATATCACACCACTGCCATCTCCGTTGGTTTTTCTTCCTTGGTGTTAGCCGTGACGGAACCCAGGGCCTGATGCATATTAGGTAAGTGTTTCACCATGAGCTGTACCCCCTGTCCTAATCACATACTACATTTAATCGCCAATTTGATAACTTCTCCATTACTGTATTCACCCCCAACCCCACCCCAATCAACTGCCTTTCTCCATGGTTCCTAGGCTCTTCAGTGGCCCAAGGTTTGTGTCTGCTTCCGTTTGAATGTGTTTCCCAAGAATGCATGTACAATTCAATCCCCACTGGGTCAATACTGAAAAGTGGTTTTGTGTGTATGTGTGTTTATGTGGATGCACACAGGTGCCTTAGCACCCAGGTAGAGATGAGAGGACAACTTGCTGGAGGAAATCTGTCCTTCACCACGTGGATCCTGGGAATCAAACTCGAGTCTTCAAGCTTGGCAGCAGGCAGCTTTTACCCATCACCGCCATCTTGCCAACTGGCAAACAGAACTTTCTGTTGTTTGCTTGTTTCCCGGCTAGGTGTCACTCTATTGCTCTGGCCTAGAACTGTAGACCACATAGGCCTTTGGACTCACAGAGATCTGCCTGCCTTTGCCTCCCAAGAGCTGGGAATAAAGGCGCTTGTGTCTTAATCAGTATTTGGGAAACGAGATAGCATGCATACACACTGCGCCGACTAGTTTTATGTTAGCCTAATACAAGCTAGAGGAAGGAGGGAACATCAGTGGGGAAAATGCTTTCGTATCTATCTGTCAGACATTTTCTTAGTTAGTGATTGATGGGGGAAGACACAGTCCATTGTGAGTGGAGCCATCTCTGGGCTGGTTGTCCCAGGTTCTATAAGAAAAGAGATTGAGCAAGTTAGTAAGCAGCACCCCTCCATGGCCTCTGCATCAGCTTCTGCCTCCAGGTTCCGGTCCTGACATCCCTCAGTGATGGAGTGTTACCTAGACGTCCAAGTGAAATAAATCCTGACCTCCCCAAGTTGTTTTTTTGGTCATGGTGTTTTGTCACAGCAATAGTAACCCTGACTAGGAAACACACAAAATCTTTTTTGTCACTGTTTTGGGACACAGTCTCTCTATATAGCCCTGGCTGTCCTGGAATTTGCTGTGTAGACCAGGATGGCCTTGAACTCAAAGGGATCCCTGTGCCTCTGCCTCCTGAGTACAAGAAAAAGCATTTGGCACCACACCAACTAGGCTATAATTATGTAATTTTACCTTTGTTTTTGTTTTTTGTTTTTCAAGACAGGGTTTCTCTGTGTAGCCCTGGCTGTCCTGGAACTCACTCTGTAGACCAGGCTGGCCTCGAACTCAGAAATCTGCCCGCCTCTGCCTCCCAAGTGCTGGGATTAAAGGTGTGTGCCACCACTGCCCGGTGTAATTTTACTATTAAATATAAAGGTCACACTTTTCAAAAGTGATGTGTGTGTGTGTGTGTGTGTGTGTGCTGTGTGTGTGTGTGGTACTGTGCTGGGCATTGAACCCATGGTCTTATATGTGCATGCTAGATAAGTACCATTGAGCTAATTTCCAAACCCTTGATTTCAATTAGTCTTTCTTGTACTTATCTTTTATAAAAAGGTTTTTCTTTTAATTTATTTATGTGGGTGTTTGGTATGTATGTATGTATGTATGTATGTATGTATGTATATGTATGTACACATATATATTATGTATGAAGCATGTGCAGTGCCTGTGGAGGCCAGAAGGGGGTGTTGGATCCCCTGGGATTGGATTTACAGACTTGTGACCATCCATGTGGTTGCTGGGAACTGAGCCAGGTCCTCTGGAAGAGCAGCCAGTGCCCTTCACTGGTGAACCATCCCTCCAGGACCCTCTTGTACTAATCTTAACCAGCTATCCATTCTGGGAAGTACAGTCTTTTTCAGTTTTAGAGTATACACTTAGGTTATTTAAATGTAGCGAGGCATATACCACACTGGTAGTTTTAGCACTTGGGAGGTAGGAATTGTGAGTTCCAGGCCTGAGCTACAAAGTGAGACCCTGCTGTCTCAAGAAGACAAAACAAAACAAAAACACCAAAATTGATTTTTTTTCCTCCTAAAAACCTACATCTTTTTGCTTATGTTGTTTATCTAAGGCTCCAGTTCCTTATCACATAATAAATACATGTAAAGTCATCGTTAATTCTAATATCGCAATCATCTAGCTTACAGTTTTTCCTTTACAACTTATGCTACTATATTTAAAAGAACTAAAGTGACTAGAGTCAATATTTTTACCAGAGAAGACAAGCCTATTCCTTTCCTAGTCAATGGGATGAGAACGGTTGTGTGGCTTTTCCTGGGAGAGATGAACAAAAGCCTAATCCTGCCAGGCAGAGCGGTGTCTACAGACAAATGTAGCTCACAGACAATTGGGTCCGTGCGGTTTACTTACAGGAGCACAGGTGACCAAAGGTAGCAACATCACTGAATCAGATTGAACCCAGCTCCCAGAAGTTGCATCACAGGTGCTCCCTACCTGAGCTGCAGGAGAAGACACTCCTCTCAACGATTACTGGCTGTGATTGAACCTTGGGGAAAGGCCTGGTGAATCTCCTTGCTTTATGAGCTTCCTGAGACATGTAAAATTCAGGAACTTCCTGAGATTAATATGTGCTCAGCTTTGGGAATCTTCTGAGCCCTCTCTCTTCCACAAAGGAAATAGTTATGCAACAGAAGTTGATTACTTAGGTCTAATTGGGAGTTGAACTGAGAAGGGGGTGTTAGCAGGTGGTGACGCACACCTGCAATCTGCTTTTGGAGGCAGAAAAATCTGAGGCCTGGTCTAGCCTGGGCTACACAGTGAGACTACCTAAAATGAAGAAATAAAATTTGGGTGGGCGGGTGGCCCAGTAGTTAAGAGCATTTGTTTTTACAGAGGACCCAGCTTCAGTTCACAGCACCAACGTGACGGCTAACAATATTCCACAACTTGAGAGAGCACCAGGCATGCATGTGGTGTACAGACATACATGCAGGCAAAACACTCATACACATAAAATACATCTAAAAATTCTTCTTAAGCCTAAAGAAAAATAATAGACTACGTAAAAGAAACTATTTGCAGCTTTAAAGATTGTGTCTTAACTCATGGGATCAAAATAAGTTGTGAGGAATATTTCTTACTACCGTTCTATGTTTGGGTTTTTTGAAAATAAATGTTTTGCCCCCGATCCAAGCATTTCAATTCCTTTCTTGTGCGCGATGTTAACTGCAAATTTCAGTTGCCAGTTGAGTAGTTGTGTGTGGTGTTTTCTTGTTTCTATGTGGCAGACACCCATGGCTTTCTCATTCACCCCATCTGGGCCTCCAGTGTGGTGTAATTATCCTGAAAAGCCAGGATGTGTGCAAGCTTGGCTTGATTACTCTAATGGCACGCAGTGTTTTTGCAAACCTCTCAATTCCTGAATAATTATCATATTTCTGTGTTTAGCCAAAAGCTTAATTGGAAGATTCCAGAATGAAACAATGCTACACAAGGAAAAAGAAAACCTCTCAGTCATTTCTCTTCGGAAAAAAAAAATTTTTCCCCCCCGATTGAAATACCGCTGATAAATGCATGGGATTAAACCATCACATCATGCAGAAGCAACCGTAATGCATGGCAACCATTCCCAGCCTCTTCCCAGCTGCCTTTCCAGGGAGGCCAGCATGCTTAACTCTTTCCGGTATCTCTGTCATTGTCTAGATAACGTACATGCTTATATCACCAGCTCCTTTTCCTTCTCAAGACATTTCTATTTATGCGATGTACGTATTTACCTATGGACTTGCACATGTGTACAGGTGCCCCAGGAGGGCAGAAGAGGGAGGGCACTCACTGGATCTCCTGATGCTACAATTACAGGATGTGGTGAACTGCCTTATATGGGTGCTGCTGGGAACCAAACTCGACTTCTCGTTGTCCAAGTCTGGTGACCCTATTGGAACATGTATGAGAATAAGAAGATCATAGCCGGGCGGTGGTGGCGCACGCCTTTAATCCCAGCACTTGGGAGGCAGAGGCAGGCAGATTTCTGAGTTCGAGGCCAGCCTGGTCTACAGAGTGAGTTCCAGGACAGCCAGGGCTACACAGAGAAACCCTGTCTCGAAGAAAACAAACAAACGAAAATCATAAATAATTCATTTGGGGGTCTCTGTGTTTGTAGTAAGCTTCATTTCACTAGAGAACTTAACCAGTCAAACTGTATAGGACAAATTTGTATTGGCGCTTTGGTTTTAAGTTATCACTATTATTTTATTTGTGTGTATGTGTATCTGTATTAATGGATGCCACTTGTGTGCGTGTCTGTGGGAAGCAGAAATAAGACATTCAGTTCCCTAGAGCTGCAGTTACAGGTTTTAAGGGGCCCAGTGTTTGTGTTAGGAACTGAACTTTTCAACTGCAGTAAGTGCTCTTAACTGCTGAGCCATCTCCCCAACCCTTCCGTTCTTGATTTTGTTTTTCATTTATTTTTCTCTTTTGAATTTTTTTTTTTTCTTGAGCCAAAGTTTCTCTATGTAACCCTGGCTGGCCTGGAACTCACTAAGTAGGCCAGAGTGGCCTTGAACTCAGAGATCTGCCTGCTTCAACCTCTATACCCAGTCTCCTGTTCTTATTTTTTAAGACCGGATCTCAGCATGGAGACCTGGAACTCCAGATCCCCCTGCCTCAGCCTCTTGAGCATTGGAATTACAGTCCTAAATCAATATTTTCAAGGGGTAACATGTTAGGCTGTCGCGATGCTGTCTGTATGAGGGTAATAGCAAGGGAAATCGGATTACAGCCATGTGTCACTTTAGAATACTGGGGTTTCTGGATCTAGTGACAGCTCAGAGCAGAGGAATGTGAACAGCCCAGTCCTTTGTTATGAAATGTCAGAAACTGGGGACCATTCAATGTGGGAAGGATCTGTATTTGCTCCTGTGTCTGTCTGCTTCCTCAGCAAGGGACCAAGGCAGGAAGAGGGCAGGAAGCATGTGAAACCAAGCACCGGGTACACATGGTTTAAGGAGGTCCTCATGCCTAAGGCACAGTTCCCAGGGAGCGAGCTCTGCTCTAACACACCGCTGCTGTCTGGACAGGGACATCCACAGTGTGTGTATTAGTGATAGCTCTCCAGAGAAACACATCAGTAAGATATATATAGATTTATAAGAAGGGGTTTAGTCAGGAATTGGCTCACGCGATTATAGAGGTCAAGGGATCTCACCATCTGCTGTCTGGACCGCCGGAAAGCCAGGAAACCATGTGGTGTAATTTATCCTGAAGCTGCAGACCTCAGGATGTCAAACTGGGGGAGTGGGAACTGGGGTTGGATATTGTTCTAGTTTCTGTGATTTAAAAAAAAAAAAAAGCTCTGACTAAAAATACCGGAGAAGGAAGGAGTTTATTTGGCTTTAATTTCAGATTACAATCCATCATTGAGACAAGTCAGGGCAGGAACTTGGAAGGAAGTAGGAAGAAATGCTGCCTGCTGGCTTATTCTCAGGCTCATGCTTAGCTACCTTTCTTACACAGGATCACTTGCCTAGGTATGGTGCTGCCCACAGTGGGCTGGCTACTCCTGCGTCCATTATTAATCAGCCCCCTACAGATAATATCCACAGGCTAATCTGTGTAGGCGATTCTCAACTGAGTCGTTC